TTGAGGTAGGAGATTGGGAGAAGGGTCTAGAGGAAAAGAGTTGGGGCAGGAAGGAGGAGAAGAGGGGGAGTAAGGTAAAAGAAGAAACAAGTATATTCCGAAATGGAGAGGTGGAAATAAGCAAGTTGGTTGAGAGAGAGGTGAAAGTGGGGAAATCCCTGGGCCTGTTCTATTGGGGAGGGGAAGATTTTGCGAGGAAAACTTTTGAGCAAGTTAGAAAGGAAGAGAAAAACAAAAAAAAAAAAGAGGAAACAATTGAGAAGAATAGAGGTTGGGTTGAAGAAGGGGGTGAGGACATGTGAGGAGTCGAAGCCTAAACTTGAAAAAGAACTAGGAAGAGGGGGTAAGGATGAGGGTGAGGATGGATCAAAAATAGCAGGGAAGGAAGAACAGTTTGGAGTGGCTTCTCTTTTTTCTACTCTGGATTCTTTGGAATGGAATGGAAGAAATAGAAGATGTTTTGAAGATAAGTTAAAAGTTTTGAGGTCCTTACAACCTGGTCGGAATATGGTGGTGGTTTGAGTATCGGTGCCTTTAGATTTGGATCAAAGTAGCTGATCAGATTTGGGGGAAATCTTTTGGAATGTCCTCGAAATTCAAGATTGTAATTCTGATCATTTCTCTGTTGTTTATGTTGCTCTTTTGTATTGACGAGGTGTAATCTTGTCACCTCTCGGATTGTATTTTCCTTTTTTGTTAATGACAAATTTCCTTTTACTCTTCAAAAAAAATTTTTCTTCCACGAAGCTAATCTCTTCTCAAAATTTTCTACTACTGGGTTCCAAATACTTCTCAAAATGTTCCTAGGGTTGGCTCCTAATGGAAGGCCCAAATACTTCAAAGGCCAAACAGAGATAGAAGACTTTAAAGAAGCTGCAATAGCCTCAACTTTCCTATGCTCTATATTAGCACCTGCTATGCAGCTTTTGTCCAAGTTAATTTTTAGATTAGAAAGCCTTTCAAACCCACCTTATTAACTCTTTTAGATTCCCTACCTTTCTGACATCTGCCCCTTAACAAAAAATAATTATATCATCTGCAAACTGAAACTGTGTAATTGGAAAATCATTTCTTCATAATCCCCAACTTCTTATCAAGTCCCACTTATTAGCAGACGAGATCAACCTACTAAACACGACGGTTACTTAACTGAACAGAAATGGTGAAAGGGAGTTACCCTGCTTAACACCCCTAGAAGCTGGGAAAAAGTCCTTCACCACTCCACTAATCTCAGGACTGGTTGTTCAAAAGTTCAAAACTTTTACCATATATCAGTCTTAAAAAGATATAAGTTGAAATGTTTACGGCAAATCCCGACTTGTATGAATTGCTGTTCATAATTGTTCAAGTAATGAGTTTTCCATTTGTAACTATGCTGGATGTAACTTGAAATAGGGGTATCTTATTTTCGTTCTTACAGGTTTTCAATGAAATAAGTTCCAGGGAGATGGAGCAGATAAATGTTTTCAAAGGCATACTGAAGAACTATGTATTCGTGGCTGTACTCACCTGCACTGTTCTCTTTCAGATTATAATCATTGAGTTCCTTGGTACATTTGCAAATACATCTCCGCTCACTCTACCACAGTGGTTCCTTAGTGTGTTCATTGGATTTCTTGGAATGCCAATTGCTGCTGTCATTAAATTGATCCCTGTGGGATCTAAATAGGTATTCAAACCTTTTTTTTTCAACATCAGTTAGATTGAATTTTAAGAGTTGTATTAATGATAAGGTTACAGTTTATCTCCATAGTCCTGTAGGTGGTTGAGAAACAAGCTAGTTCTAATTTTTCTCGATCAAATTATTTCTCTTCTTGAGGATGTATTTTGACGATACATATACTATTATCCATTTGGTGTGTAAATTTCAGATATCCACCAAATATTAGAAACCTTCGTTATAGTTGCTGTTCTAACATATAAATACCATTTCCAATTTCCCCCCTTATATTATTGATGTTTAAGTCTTTAGTATAATACCCTCTCATAAGTCATATCCATCAACTTTTGATTGATCAAAAGATTCACAACATCAGGAGTCGTTGAGCCACCAGATCTAATAACGGTAAAAAGATGCCATCTGCATTATATCTTCATTTTTACAAGAGTTTCACTCATCTTTTTTCCCTTTCATTCATGTTCCTACGGTCCAACTTCTCTTTCCACCCCTATTCTCTTTCCAACTTAACCCAGCTCTCTTATATTGCACTTAAGTGTGAGCTTTGAGGCGGTTTGAGGCATAAGCCTCAAATTAAAAATTTAAAAACTATGAAAAAGATAAATAATTGAAATTTTATATAATTATGTCACTTAAAGTAATTTTATATAATTACTTGAAGTTAACTCAATAATACAAAACAAGGCAGGAGGTTTGTGTCAGATTGGGCTAACGCCAGCTGGGATAGGGCCAACCTTGGAGCTAAAAGCAAGCATATTATTAAGCCAAAGTCATTTTTAACCAAACCTACTCTAGATGGTAGATACCAATCAACCCTACGGATTTGATTCTCGAACCACACTTATAAAAGGTTCACATGCCAATGATCTAACTAGGCAAATAGGAGTAACGGTTGTGCCATTTAATGATCCTGTTTGTATAATTCCAGTACGAAGGGGATGAACTAGTCTTAAATTTGAAATAGGATATGCAGAAGAGGAATTATTTCACCAAGACTGTTCAGAGGTAAAAGTCGGAAACATTCAAATGAGAATAACAAAATGGATCTAGATTCAATATATCTGATGACAACATAGCAACATGTATCCAAGCAGTTCATCACCGCACTTACTATCCAAAAGTGAAACTAAAACAAAGCAGCACACCTACACTTCTGAGTCTCTTAACCTCCCACAAATCTGCTGCCCCACATAGTTGAGAGTTTGAGACAAAAAAAAAAAGAAAAACCATGGGTATTAGTTTTAACTTAAAGCTACCGCCTCATGTATATTGAGGCAAAAGGCCAAACGCCTACGCCTCGCTAAAGCTGAGGTTTACGCCCCTTGCTCTGAGACCGAGGCTGCTGAGGCCAGGCGAAATTTGGCCGCATCACCTTGAGGTGTACGCTTCTCACCTCACCTCAGCCGCCTTTTAAAACCATGGCTACTAGTTTTAACTTTTAAGTGATAAACATAAATGGACATTTTCCTATCCAATAACTATAATAGAGAAACGAGACCGGGACAGGAAGTTGACTTTTAAATCCTTGCAGGTTTGGTCCGGTAATGCAGTAGGGAAGACGATTAAAAGCAATGTTGTATGACCGAGACCGGACTAGAAACCAGAATGTTCAACGGGTCATGGTTTTACCAGCTAACCAGGCGGTCAGCTGTTGAACATGTGAAAATCGTCATCCAACTGGGACATTGATTCCCAGTTTTTACGGTCCAATCCTCCAGTCTTAGTAAAGCAATAAAATACCGTTCGACCTTTCTCTCTCTTTCTCTGGTTGGGGAAAAGAGTTAATAGGTGCCACAAGCATGGCGGTGATGCAATTCCATTAGGTTAAAACATCTCAATGATGTTTAAATAACTACAATTGTAGAGTTGCAGTACGACATTGAGATGAAAGTGTAAGAGATCCGAACTCTCTCATTCCTTTGTCAACTTTCTAAGGTTACGTTTGGTTAAATTATCCTCCAAATAATCACTGCTTGAAGAATTAAATTTTGAACAAAAAAATTAAGCTAAGCCATTTGTTTGCAGTGCAATTTCATCTGCACTAGTAGCACAAATGCATGAGAGTGCAAACAAGAAGACCGTAAATTACGATTTACTTTTAATTGCTTTGAATTTATTTTATTTTGCATCAGATTTTGTTTTATTTACACTACAAACAAGCAAAGTAAAACAGTGTTTGCATTTAATTCATTTTTACTCCCATGCTTTTGCATCAATTCAGAGGAAATTGCATACAAAGCCTAAGGCCCTGTTGGTTTCGTTTGTACTTAAATCTTAGGGAAATCTAAGCTGCTGACATGATACCAAAACTGCTTTAATCTATCATCCCCGGTGAATTTTGATAAATACCACCTAATTATGACATTATCCTATCCTTTTTGCTATCTATTGTTTTATATAATAATGTTAAAATAACATAAAATAATTGCAACATATTATGACAATTCTATAATATCATTAGAATTGCATTAGAAAACATTAAGACATACCAAGCGGAGACTAGATAGCTGTGTAACAAGCATGGAGAACTCCGGCCTTGACACTCAAATTGCACTTTCGGGAGAGCATTAGAGGAGGAACATTGTGAGATTGAAGCAGTATACAGGATCCCTAAATGGAGGGTATATTTGAAAACTACTCTGTCAAGCACCAAATTATTAATCCAGCACTTGTTATTGCTTCCCAACTGTTACGTGCTTCTATTGCATATAGTCTTCAGAAAGCGGAGTTTTGAAGTCCAGAATGTTTTCCTGGATTCTTTATACAGGGTTGTCTTGGGATTTTACAGTGGCTGTACAAATAAATATTCCTTGGTGTTGTGTTTCGGTAGTGTGTAACATGCTTGTTTCACAAACCATGGTCTTGTGAGAGCCGGCCTGTATTTTTCCTTTGGTCTTTGAACAAATTCCGACATCTGAAAGGTGGAAACGAGGAATGAAATTGTGAAAGAAAGGGCCAAATAAGTTTGCAGTCTTTTTTGCAATCTTGAAAGGTCACTTTCAGCCTTATTATTCAAACACCTGTTTTGAATATAGGGAGACCAAGTTCAAAGAGTTGGGTATTTTAGTCAGAAAAATTCTAGGATCTATAACTTACTCACACTTTTAGTAGTATAGATTAGACAGGTAAATAAGGTAACTTGAGTTAAGGCAATGAGAATTTACAAATAAAAAGAAAAGGCATGGGCCAAGGAGAAGGCCACCATTGGCATTGGTAAAGTGGAGCAGTTACCGTGGGAGAAACACTATTAAGCAACGCCAGCTAAATGATACTGAACTTCAGGTTGCTTCCTCCAGTGGATCCCAGTCGGCTGAACTTTCTCGTTTTTGCAACAATTTGAGTGACGAAGTTTTAAATGTTTGTAGGTGTATATCTTGTGATGGATGTATACTGAATATCTTGTAAATCTCTTATATATGGGTCTTAAATCCTCCTTTTGATAGTAATACAATTTTACCTGACCTATTCAAAAATAGATACAAATAAATAGGACTTTCCTTCTATATTTCATACTACGAGAACTTACTGATTAACAAACAGGGCTCCGTGAAGTTAGCATCTAATCTTCCGCCATGCACCCATCATCATCTTCATAAATATAATTCCTCCAAACAGGTTCAAGTAACCTCATTGTACTCTCTAATTGCTGCCTCTCATCCTCATTTATTCTCGGATTCCTAATGTAAGCATCTATTTGGGGGTAAAGCACTTTCAGACAAGCCAACATGAGCCCCAGTTCTTCCCACTCTCCATGGTCTATTCTGGCCAATTTAATACAAACAAAATGCACCAATCCCAGAACCAACCCAAAATCCTTCCTTTCAAGCCCAACTGCTGAACCAGTCAAGAATATAACCCCAACAGCATCTAGTACTTTTGGATTTTCTCTCATAAGTAGAGCTACCTTTTCCATTAGTTCCTTGAAAACCACAAAATCCTCTGGTTCATGAACTTTCAGTCTCCTCATCTTGGTTAAAGTCAATTATTTCATAGAGCTCAACCTTACCCAAAATTGTGAGCCATGATGGGAAACGTTGCTCAAATGTGATCAGATGCACTGGAACAACCTCCTCCTTGTGGAGTCCTTATCATAACGTGGTCATATCCTAATGCTAATATTATATCAGGTATCCATGGCTTCACTGTAGAAACAAGGCGTGTGGCATGGCCCAAACCCACGTATGATTCAGTTGAGGCAATCAAATCAAGCATGTTATTCGCAAGACCAGAGACCTCCAGTGGTGGTGGTGAAGAGTCATTGCAATTTGTGAGAACTATATTTAGCAACTTTATTGCATAGGTGAAGGAACTCCTGAGGCAAGAGAACACTTCTTTCAACTCGTCTTCTTTGAATTGTAGTTTATCATGGGAATGCTTCCTTAGAGTTGAGATGACATGTTGAACAAATACTGAAGTGAACCACAAGCACCTTTCTTGATTGTGAGAACCGACATGTATGGCCATAGCATCAACAATAGACTTGAGAACTGTGGTAACCATTTTCAACATATTTGATATCTTCCTTTGTTCGGATAAACTGGATCCTGTGTTTAAGTTAAAGGAAAGAAATAAGATAATGAAGAAAGATAAGTATATACTTCTGAACAAAGGAAAACATCCAGTTGGGTACTTGGGTAGTGGAGATGTCCTTCACATACAGAGTGCTTCAGCACTCCCAACTGAACTTTACTGCAATAAACATTTTTTTTCTAATTTGTGCTGAAAATAATACTGAGATTGAGGGTATGTATGCATCCAAATTGATATTGGATTGGGAGATACAAATAATGAATAAGGAAAAACTAATCACACTTGCTAGTCAAATCATTTAGTGAGGAAGTCAAAATGACCCTGGAATCACGCATGTGGCAACTTAGTTTGGCACCTAAAAGGACACCCCCGATCCCCCTTCTGGGCCCAATATAAGTTGACCCATGGAAGTTTCCTGGGTTGTTTTGGCTAGATAACAAGACAATCCAACTAAGAAATCTTCTCATTGTGTGTTTGGGTGTATGATATAAGAAAGGAAGGAGAAGGTATAGAAAGATGACTTGTAGAATATGAAAATAGAGACTGCAGTAGAGAAACATAAAAGAGTAACAGAAGAACAGATAGAGGAAGAGAAAGAGAAAAATAAATAAATAAATATCACACCTTTAGAAGAAAAGAGAGGATGCACCACACAATATTCAAACTTCAAATTCATTTTCGCTCATTCAATCTATTCAAACTAAGGATTCCATCACTTTAATAGAGATAGGGTTTACAAGGCCTTAGTCTTGACCAAATAAGACTTCTAACAGAATTAGATATTCAATGAAAACACAAACTTTTAGTGATTCAATACTAAGCATCTAATTCATCAAGACATCTTCTAGAATATTCTAGAATATCTTACTAAAGAGATTGATCCCCCTAAAACAAATTTAGAAACCAAAAACAAATAAAAAGCAACTCCCTAGATAAAATTAAAAAAAAATTGGAAAAGATTCAATTCCCAACATAGCCCAACTCCTTATTGGTAAAATGGCCATAATTCTCTAAAAAATATGTAGGATTTATAAAAGCATAACTTTCATTAAATAGATAACTATATAACCGTTTTAGATATGGTCAGGTGTAAGTAAGCTGCTAATCAATACTAACATATGGACTCATGAATTGCATGATAATATTTAATTTCCAGTGATGCTAGTAAGCTATGTACTCTTCATATGCATTCCATAATTGACATCCAAAATGTTAAAAGTATTGGTAACAAAAAACAGAAGCAATAACTGAGGTTGAAATATGAAAATTAAAATTCCAAAGTGCAATAGTGTAACGAAAATCCATATTTTATGATGTCTAAAGGGCATTCTTGGTTTAGCATTATATATGCCCATCACCTTTCTTAGAATTTAAAGGCAGTGAGCTAGTTTCTCCAATGGGCCTTGCATCAATTAGCTTCTCTGCACAATTGAGCAGATGATTCACTGACTGATCCAACTCTGTCAGCTGAAAAAGAAAATAGCAGTTAGAATAATTTTTGGAAATGTAAGATAATGCTTTGGTCAGCATCAATCTGTGCTTGAAAAGACAGACTAAAGTCAAAAGTCAAACCCAAAAGAAGGAAAGCAAGAAAGAATTACCAACTCTGTCAAAGTAGACATTATTTGGTTTTAACATTCAGATGTTGTTTCTTTGATATTAATTAAAATAAAACATCAAGTAGACAACTGGCATTTAATAAAAATTGCTAGAAAAATTAATGCATTAAAAGAAAGAAAATGAAGTTAAGAAGAGCCATACCTCCAACGATGTAGTATCCAACCTGTTGTTCTTGTTTTCATCAGGACTGGTTTTATTAGTTAAACCAATTTTTTGAAAAGTCATGTTCATGGCAAGAGCTGCGTATGCAAGAACTGGTGATGTTTCCAGGAAATCATAACACATGCATTGTTCAATAATAACCTCAGAGATGATCTTCAAAGCTGAAAATGGCAGTTCCAATGTCTTGGACTTTAGCATGGCATTTTGTGTATCTACAGACATGAGCAAGTCTTTTATCTGCCATGCCACTCCCGCAGCAATAAGGCAATCTTCCTCAAAATTGTAAGTATCAGAACTAGAAGATTTTTTTTCTGCTGGCGTTATTCGCTGAGGTTTTCACAGATAACTTAGTTTTTGCCTGTCTGGTAGATGGTACACTCTGAGAGGAGACTTCTTTTCCAAATCTAATACGAAATCCAGAGGCAATATTTTGCAAAAGGCTTGTTAAGGATGCAAACATGTCATCAAATCTACCACAGGATAGCAACAGCTTGTGGACAGAACTTATCTCTGCCTGCCTTTCCACATTTTGGGATAAACCACTGCAATTCATGATAAGGTCCATGCATTCTTCAGAATGGGTAGCTGGAAAATGTACAATGGCAGGTACGACTAGCGAGCTTGGCAGTCCAAGCCAAAGCCATTCCAATGAAATTTTTTTTGTGGTACAAGTGTTTCCTAGCTTGCCTTGACCAAACAGAGACCTTCCACCTCCAGCTTGGGATTTTTGAGGTTAAGGCTCCGTTTGCTTCAATGTGAAAAGGGTAAAATCATTTTCACGGGGAAAATGTACTTTGTTTTTCTTGCCATTTACATAAAAAATAAATTAGATAAGGAAGGGAACACAAAGTCTACCCTCCAGAGTCCAGACACAAGAGTCTCTCACTCTCCAAACTTGACCCTACACAGCCCTTATCTTAGAATTAACTTAATTATATTCAGTGCAATATTAACATAACTTACATGATAATTGACAGCACACCCTTTTAAGTTTTGAACTTTTAGCTATCAACAACATTAACTACCTTTGGTTGGGTTGGAGTTGGACATGTCTCGTGCAAGGCTTGGCTTTAATACGAATGAGAGGACGTTGAGTAGAACAACAGGGTAATTAACTGAGTTGAGTTGAGTTGTTAATGTTACCCACGCCACCAGCAAAGCATTAGCCTGTTCCAAGGATGTATGACAACGTGATAAGGGAAAAAAAAAAGTTGGCAGTTGCAATTCCTTGCCAGATTCCAAGACAATTCAGTGGACCATCCAATCAAACTATCCTTAATAAGCATCATCTCTCGAATGAAATTCCGGTACAGAAAGATTTTTAGCTCATCACGTAATCATCTCTCAATGCACTGAGTTTCGTGACTCCAACACAGGCTAGTTAACAGTAAAAAGCAGGACCCTCCCCCCAAAAGGCACCCCCCACCCCCTCTAACATTCAAACAAATCGAACGACATTCAGCTTTACATACTTTTTGATGGCCAACAAGCAACACAGATGCATCAAATCACACAAACAATTCCCTTCCCTTCCCCACCCCCCCACCCCATCCCCAATCTCTCCTCATTGCTTTCATTTCAGCCTTTAGAAAGACATTGGAAGCATCCCAAGCCCCCTATAAGAAAGAAACGAATACAACAAATTGAATAAGTGAGTAAGTAGTAATGTAGTATAAAATGAAAACACCACTCTGAATAACTATCAACAATCTTCCATGGCTTTCTAGACTTCATTCCCCTCCGCCTTCACTTCCCTCCTTGTATTGTAGCTTTCAGGCTTGCAGTTAGCTCTTCATGGTGGGGTAAAGTTTCATTTTGCTTTTTTTTTTCTTTCTTTTTCCCCTTTTTATTAAAATGCATGCTAGTTCATCTGTCGATCAGACTTTCTTGAGTATCATCGGAAAACAAAACCCATACTCAACTCCAAATCATATCTAGGAACTGGAGGGTAACACTCATTAGATCAGTAAATCAGATTGAAAAAATAATAATAATAAATTAAAAGAAAAACACAAAATCTTAGTAAAATGCACTCTCGAGATTGGCATTAGTCGTCAATTAGATTTGCCTTAGCGGAGTGGTTTCTCATTAACTATACCACAATTTTCATCACTGTCATTGAATGTAAGTCTTCTCCTCTTAGTGTCCACCGCAGAGGTTAAGGATGAATCCTCAACAACGTCTGTTGAAGTTGTATAAATTGAAGATATATCTAGAGAAATTACAAGCCTGGGTATTCTCAATTTCCCCATCTCTAAATCCTGCATTAGATTATAGCAGGAAAACACATGTTCCTGCAAACAAACATTTATCAAAATCCGATCTTTGTAAATTGTTTTTACAAGACTAATGAAACAGTAAAGGAAAAAGGAAAATAACTCACATTTTCAAGAGACCCACATGACGACACAGAACTCATCTTAAACTCTATTGTTTTTCTTGTTAATCTCTGATCCATTGCTGCCAACACTGCGGCAGCAGCAATTGCAGATGGGCGATGATCCATCAAATTCATCTCTGTATATAATAAACAAACAAATGAAAGGACAAATATACGAAAGCGAAGAAATAGTTCTCAGTCTATATCAAATACCTATCAATTTTTCTTTCCCTTTTTTAGGTAAAGATTTCCGCTCAAGATTACCTTTTATTATAGCGAGGACGAGTTCCACAGCTCTAGATACCAAGTGCTTCGGTCGATATTCCTCACAAAATTTGTTGATGAAGTAATGGAAATAAGCAAAAGGAGTGATTGAACCCATTCTCCATTCTAACGTATTCAGAACTAGAAGCTCCATTCTTTGAATGATCTTACTTTCGAAGTTGCATTCTTCTACTCTAAACTCAGATAATGCCGGTACTTTGCATTCTTCCAGTTTTGCGGCCAAAGATAAACACGCAACCGATAGTAATTGAATCGCCCAAGATTTCCCTCTCTATTATTAAAAAGAAAATGATCAATGAAAACAACACCTAAAAGAACTAAAGAAGTAATAGTTAAACCCTCTTGTTGTTTATTTGCCATTTGAAAAGGAAAGTAAAGGGGAGGGAAAAAGAAGAAAGTTTTTCTTACATCAATGGTACGCCTTGAAAGAAACTGATCAAAGTAAGTGACGGATAAATAAGCTGTTTGGAAGCGAAATCCAAAGTATGCCCGAGTCTGAATCAAAAGCATCGGAACTCTCAGAAGCTGAACCAAATCCAAGATAAGAAAAAGGGGAAAAAAAGAAAACAAAGCAACATAGAGAAAAAGGTTGAAGCAAACTTTGAAAATCCATTGAATAGCATCCAAGCGAGCGCACTTGAGCCAGCTCTCGTTCATCATCGAATAGTCATTTGTAGATTCATGGCATTTGCTTCCAAAACTATTCTCTCTTTCAACCAACATTTCTATATATTCCTCTTCAGTTTCTGAATATGGGTAATTGTTTAAATTAAGAAATACGTCTTCGTATACCTCTCCATCCAAGCAACCTTCATTTTCTTGACAGAGAAGATTGGAGAGGGAAAATGAAGAGCCGGAATCCTCCATTCATTTCTCGCTATCTTCTCTCTACATCCACACAGAAAAATCCATTATTTGAAGGCCAAATCCACTGTACAAGGAGACACGAAATCTAATTGACCGCTATTGCGACAGAACCAGAGAGAAATCTGGTCTTTGGTCGAAGCGATGATAGTTAGGGGTAGTTTTAGTGCCGCCAAATTTAGCGGATGTGATAGTCTGATAGAGTAGCGATTTAGGTGCGTGACCTTTTTTTTTTTTTATTTTAGCGGTTACACAGTCACAAACGCACTCCCCTACTCTCTCTCTCTCTCTCTCTCTCGTGAGTCGTGACTCGTGACGAGATTTTGGTCTTCAAAGGGGATAGCGAGCTGGGGAGAGAGTACGTGTAGCATTGTACATGGGCCAGTGGGCCTGTTATTAAGGGATGAGCCATTGGAGTGGGCCTTAAGCCCTTATGACCTAGCAGGCTGGCACCCCTAATTTCTATACAAGCGGAAATATTTCCGAAATAATAATACACATGATTTATTAACCAAGATAAATGGTAGTTACTAGTTAGTTATCTTATTCTTTGTTATAAAGAGACATAGAGACCCACCATATTTTTGTGTTTCCAAGTTTGCCCTTAGCATTTAGAATTAATTTCTTCTGGTAGGAGTAACCGAATACATCTAAAACCAAGTTTGGTGAACAATAAGAAGCAATAAGAACCAAGTTTGGTAGGAGTAGCCAAATACATATTAGATAATCAAAGTCACTATACAAGTGTATGGCACGTTCTGAGTATCTAGAAAATGGTTTACTTGGGTTGAAATGGAGTTATCACATCAGTTAAGGAAATAGAGGTGATGGAGACTTCTTGGAATGACATCAAAATTCATTTTGGTTCAATAGCGACTCTAAAGCCTAAGGCATCGGTTAAGTCAATCTAGATAAGGCTTCGATGGGAGAGGGAAGGGGTTAGACCCCTCTCCCGGGTCCAATAGGAGGATCCACACATGGCTTAAAACGATCATAAGCATAAAAAGCACAATTAATTATTCAAACCAATAGGATAATAATCATTAAACACATCAAATTATAAAAGTAATGTACATAGAAGAGAATTTTAACCATTTCTAATTATTTATTTATTATCTTACTTTTTTAATTAATTTTTTCTACTATTATTTTTGGTTATCTTCTTATAGAACCCCATTATTATTATTATTATTATTATTATTATTATTATTATTATTATTATTATTATTATTATTATTATTATTATTATTATTATTATTTTAATCTTTTATATTTCCATATGTTTTTATTTTTTATTTTTTCCCTTTATTCTTTTTATGACCTTTTTTATTGAAATTGTTTTTTATTTTATTTTATTATTACCCCCACCCCCTTTGCAAATATATATTCTAATCTATCAAGCCAAAGTTTTGTTTGCCAAACTTTTTATTTTAACTCTCAATCAGCAAAAGACCTAATCCCTACTAGTGTCTTAGCTGTTCTTCTCTATTTTGTTTTTTTATTTAATTCTGTCTTACAATCATTTTTTATTTCTTTTACTGATATATCATTTATTCACTTAATCCTTATTTATCTGCTGAAACAGATCGCTATCCACCCAAGTTTTCAGATCAATCCGCCTTCAAAAAAAAAGTTTTCAGATCAATCCCCTTCTCCGGTGTCCGAGCATCTACCAACTAAACATTCACCTCTGCAAACACAAATAACTACCGTCCCAAATAACTAACTAAATAAAACCTGAACTAAACAGCAATCACTTCATCAAATCAGAGATTCAAAAGCAACATCATCGGCAATATTCAGAAGTTGGTTTGAGAAGAAAACAACGATCCAATCTCTAAGAAATAAAGGATAACTGAATATCTAGACTACACCCATCAACAACCGAAGAAAACGGCACGCTAATTGCAGTCTTGAATATGGCAAGCATAGCAATCAACAGATCGGGAAATCTATTCAGCATTGAATCCTGAACGATAGGATCAATTAGACATCCATATTATCAGCAGTATCACCAAAGAAAGAAAACTGCGAACAGAGAGACTACGGCTGATCTGGGTTTCGAAGATCACATGTAAACCGACTCGGCATTGGCCTCATTGCCGGCTCCGAGAACTTCCTCCTCCCCCCAGATCTTGATTAATCGAATGCAAACGGGAAAACAAATCCAGAAAACAAGATGAACAAAAAAATAGCAATCACAGTACTTACTCGGTTGGGATTTTGGCTCTGAACTTTGTCAAAGCTGCAAGAGAGAGAGTCAGCTGGCTATGCTTCGTTTGGGGTTGACTTCTCGAACGACAATGGTGACCAGCATTTGCGACCAGAAGCTTGGTGTGAGGTTGCGGTCCTTTTGAGTGTTGGGTTTCACTTGAAGCTGAGAAGGGAAGGCCGTCGGAAATAGTAGATACGTTCGATCTTAATCAGCGGTGACAATGGAGAACAGGGGACCTGTGACTAATTTTGGGAACCGAAATGGTGAAGGGAGCTGATATGGTTGTCGGGGAATAGGAATGATTTGATAAGAGCAGTGAGAAGTCACCGAAAATCCAGGAGGAAATAGGGAAATATCCCCCCACCGTGAGACCTTTCTGCGACTGAGAACAAGAGAAGCCGATCTGGAAAAACACGCGAACAGGGAGAAAGAGAGGAAGAAGGAGAGGGGGAGGAGAGAGGGAAAAAGAGAAAGATAAGTGTGAGAGAATGAGAGGGAGAGAGGAGATTACCGCCGCTGCTGGAAGTTGCTGCGACGGCAGTGAGGTCTGAAAACAGGGGGAGGAGGGGGGGGGGGAGGAGTTTGGACGCAAAACAAAAAAAAAAAATAATCAGCAAGAGGGAGAGAAGATGAGAGAAAAAAAATGCAGCCGGAAAAGGGAAATCTCAGCCTTGCTGCTGTGCGTCGAGTGAAGAGGTAGAAGATGAACAGTATTTTTCTCCTCTCCCCTTTGAATTCGTCTCTCTCTCTCAAAAGAAAGCTAGGATCGGCTTTATATTAACATACAGTGGTAATTTGGTAATTTTGGGGCAATTTGGTAATTTCGAAAAACCGTGGTATTTTTGGTTCAAACGGGTTAAGGGCGGCCGGACCGAGATTCTAATACAGTGGTGGGTGTTCTAGGTCAGAGATCAGAAGGTTGAAAAGGGTCTGAGTGTGTACTATGATTTTGCATGTGTGGGTTATTGGGATTAATCGAAACAGAATCTTTTTTGAAGAATGGGCAAATAGGGGTATTTTTAGTTGAAATTTTATAACATGGGGTTCTTGGACATTATGAGCTGATTCGTAAGGTTGGATTGGCCCAACATGACCGGGATTTGGCAGATCTGGAAAGGTGGTGGTTCAATTAATTTAGGGCTTCGAAATGGAATCTTGATGAGATGAAGGGGCAAATAAAAGTATTTTAGGCTGAAATTTTACAGGTGGGTATTTTAAGGTGTCCGGGATCTGGTGGTAATGTCTGATTGGTTCAGAGGGTCAAGATCAATGGAATTTGGGTCAACAAGAGGATGTAGAATGGAATCTTGATTTGATTGAGGGGTAAACGGGAGGATCTTGGGTTAAGTTTATGGGCAGGTGTTTTGGTGTGTTTAGAGCACAATCATATGATCTGATTGGCTCAGATGTGTTTGGATTAAGGGGATCTAAGTTGTGGGTGTTTTAAACTAACCATAGAAGTCAAAATGAAATTTTTGCTTGGTAAACAGAGAAATTTTGAGTTGATATTTGCCGGGTAGGTATTCTAGGAGGTCTTGAGTCTAATGATGGCATCTGATTTAGTGGTTGAGGTGTTAATGGGGATTGATTGAGGCCATCGGATTGGTATTAGGTAGGTTTGCGGTGGATCTGAAGGCTTTTGAGGCTAAAAACTAGGTTTTGGGGTATTTCGAAGAGGTCGAATGGGCCTGATCAGGTGTTTGAGGTAAATTAGAGGTTCAGGTGATAGGCCGAGCAAAAATTGGGTGCTGACACAGGTGCATCTCCCTAACAAATACTTTAAGATGGTTGTATTAACGTGTATCAATAAAACTATTACCTTTTATCTACATCTACACTTTGATTTTATAATAAAAAATTAAAAGAAACTTATCCACATTAATTGTTGTAATAGGGAATATAGTAGAGACTTGTGCATCTATTTGTCATATATCTACTCTATATTTTTTTGGGCTATATCTATTCTATATTTAGACCAATGATTAAAATATCATTATCTTGGTATCTAAAGTTGGGTATTGGTGTATATTGATATTTATATATTTTCCATTTTTTTATTTTATAAGAGGAATGGAATCTATCTTTTCATGGCTTAAAATGTTTTAAAACATTTATGTACCAATATATCCATATATATCGTACAAATACAAATATTTCCAATACCAAACATATTGTATTAATATTTTAATCCTTAATTTAAATTTTAAACAAACATGATTAATCCCATTTCATCTTATAATCAACTTTATTTATATGTATTAGGATTTATGATAGAGAGGCCTTAGTGTTAAACTTTCAGTTGTCCTTGGAATGATACCATTTCACGATAAGTGTATACTACATTATCCCATCATTTTGTCGATCATTTGCATAAGTACATACTACAGTATCCCACCTTCCAAATGCAGTGATCCTCTTTAGATAAATACCAAATTCATTGTTGAAAGATGATAACATGGGCACTGTGATAAGATAATGAAAGTTTCAACTTCATTCATGAAGATAATTAAGTGTCATTAATTGACTCAACCTGGTAAAAACATCTTAACAATTGGATCATTTTTTAGATAGTATAAACAAGGACAACACTAAGGTTTTTTTTTCTTTTCCTTTTTCTTTTTTTATTTTGAAATGTCTTGCTATTAGATGCATAAAATGGTGTAACTAAATTCATGTAATATACTCAAAAATTGAGGACACACACACACTAGCATTTACTTGGGGTGTTTGGCAAGTCTTTCTATCTGGTCTTGATGTTGTTCAAATTAAGGTGGATGAGTAGCATATAAAAGTCATGTTGAGCTGGACGAGCCGAGTTGGATGTTTTGTGATGGACAGGTTACGCTAGATGAGCTGTGCTAGGTGAGTTATGCTTGGCAAGTCCTTCTATTTGGTCTTGATGTTTGATCGAATTGAGGTGGATGAGCAACAAATAAGAATCATGTTGAACTAAACAAACCGGGTTGGATGTGTTGTGATGGGTGATTTGTATTAGGTGAGTTGTGCAAGATGACCTAATGAGAGTCCAACGACCTGCAAAATCCGAAGTCAGAGAGGCCCCAAGGTGGTTCCCCATGGAGGAGCACTCCAATGCTAAAGTTAGTAAAAGTAGAGACAAGGTCGGCTAGGCTAAGCTACTAAGGACAAGTTGGCCTTAGTCGAGCAAAGTTGAAAAAGCAAGAGAGTGAGAGGGATAGAATGCTGAGAGTGGAAGAAGAAAGTAGTACCTTGAGGGGAGTGGCTTTAAAAACTTGGGGAGAGTGCAACAATGCTCCCTACTTGTTGGGATAGTGAAGTGCACCGAGGTACCCTCTGTTTGAGGTTTTAGGGCAGTTCGACATTCTCTATCGTAGGTAGTTGTGAAGGGCTAGACTTGCTACCACATGCCCTTATCATATGGGGTTCTCGGTCCACTCTATGGCTATTGCTCCTCTCATGTTGGAAGTTCATACTTATGATGTGGTCAAGCCAACATTTGGACTACCTACAACTTTAGATTAAAGGTGGCAGGCCAACTAGTCAAGGGTATGGTCCCATCACCAGCCCCCTAGTTTTGTAGTCAAGGAGGGAGGTGTTCGGCCGCAGTCAAATGGACGAGCTTCTGTTGTGCTTAGTAGTGGCATCGGGGCTTGGTTGGTTCATACGCTATGTGGTCAGACCTAGTTCAAAGTAATGACAACGGTTTGTATGTGGTCAGACCAAGCTTACATGCGTGCAGAGTAGAACACTTGATTTGGACCATTGGCTGGCCATGATCTAGTCGTTGGTTGTCTCTATATAAACCAAGGGGGCAACCTCTACGTGTATGAGGAGAGTTTTGTAATGGGCTTGGGTTTCCTTTGGACCAAGGTCTTATGTCCATGTAGGGGTGCAAATGGATCAGATCATGATCTGATGTGATCTAATCTAAAGTCCAATCCTATATTGTTAGATTTGAATATCCATGTTTCGGATTTTTGGATATGATAATTGGATGCGATTAAAAATCGGGTTGGATTTGAATCACCCCCTATTCGGTCCAATATATATGTTATGTATTTATTTATTTATATATAATATATATGTTGTTTATTTATTTATAAATATGTTATTTATATTGTATTTTTGTAAAATTTTTATATTATTTATTTTTTTATAAAAAACATGTAGATATATTCATGAAAATAGTTGAAAAATACTTATATTTTTTTGTTTTTATTTATTTAAATAGTTATATTTTCTTTTCCTTTTAATAATTTATTTAAAAAATAATTCAGATCAAATCAGATTCGAATATCCAACACCTTGATCAGATTTGAATTCAAATCAGTACTTATGAGATATGCTCGAATCTTCAAATTGGACCAAATCGGACCTACAGTGTTTTCGAATCGGATTCAAATCCGATCCAATCCGTTTGCATCCCTATGTCCATGGTGAGGTGCACCACATCTTGCCCGTATAGCTAACGTCAAATTCCTTTAGGTATTCAATTTGGATTCTTAAATTTTGAACCATCCTGGACATTCCAATCACTTTCCCTGTCCTTCACTACCTTCTCCACCTCAAGAACCACAATAGGGATATTACTATTTCTTGGATTAGCCAAACACATAGGTTCTCGTCGAGGCCTTCTCCTCGGTTCATCACTAGAAGGTTGGATTTTCTTTATAAAGCACAAGGATGGGTGACCTCTAGAGCCTAAGTTGACCACACTGAGGACAAAGGTGAAGGCTCTGAAGGAAATGGAGCTAACTAAGGAGGAGAGGGCGGCCTTGATATCGATAGTCGAGGAGGATATAAAGTTGTACACCTCCTCGACCATGTTAATTTGAGCTAGGTTGATGTTGCCCCCTAGCTAGTTGGTCCCTAAACTATGGAAGCTTGTATGTTTGGATCATTTTCTTTCTTCTTTTGTTTTCTTGCTTTTCCAAGTATTGACTATTCGTTCATGTCATGTAGGCACTGAGATGGGTGCCAAGTGAGCAGGTAGATAAAGCACTTTTAGGAGGCTACAATGAAGAAGGCTATGACTTTGGGCATGGTCTTGCCCTCATGCCAAAAATAGGCTGAGGAGTTGACCTCATGACCCTCAAAGAAGTCGAGGGTGCAGACTAAGGAGTAGCATTTGATGGGTCGAGGTTGCCAGTTGATGACTTCGAGGAGTTTAGAGGGACAAACCTCAGGACAGGTTGGGGATGACATATACCAACTACAATGTACTGTTCGTTTTGCTGACACTTTGGAGATAGAGGGTGTGGCCAAGTAGATCGCCTAAGTCATACTACTCACGTAGGTTTGGATGGAGATGACGAGCTACATGATTGGTGCCTTGGAGAGCACAATGATTCATGAGACCACGTAATAAGTACCTTGTCATATTGTTGCTAACTCTTTTATCTTAGATTGGTATTGATGACATGTTTTACAAAACGTTTGCACAGTGATGCAGGTGGTGAATAGGTTGCAGGGCATGTGAAAGTATGCAGAGCAAATAGAGACTACCAAGGCGGAGCTCAAGGACAAGCTGGAGGCCGAAAAGGCACTTGAGGGTACGAAGGATGAGGTCAAGAAGCTAAGTCATCAAGGTGCATGATATGAAGGGAAAGATGGCGTCACACAAGAAGTAGGCGAAGGATAATGACACCAGGGTGACTTGAGCAAAGGAGGAAGCGGTGGTCGAGTTCAAGGCCTTAGGCGAATTCAAGGCCATCATGGATGACTTCGGAATAAGATGCTTTGCCCCCGAGTCCC